TTGGAGGAGTAAGAAGCAAAGTGTAGTAGCAAGGAGCAGTGCCGAGGCAGAGTATAGAGCAATGGCTAATGATGTGTGTGAACTACTGTGGTTACAACGGGTGTTGAATGAATTAAAGTTGCTGATAGAAGCTCCTATGAAGTTATACGGTGACAACAAAGCTGCAATCAGCATTGCCAACAACCCTGTGCAACATGATAAAACCAAACATGTTGAAGTTGATCGGCATTTCATCAAGGAAAAGCTCGAAGGAGGTTTGATCTGCATGCCATTCGTTCCAACAGTACAACAAACAACAGATATCTTCACGAAGGAATTGTTCAAGTCGACATTTGATTTTTTTGTTAGCAAGTTAGGTTTGCATAATATCTATGCACCAACTTGAGAGGGAGTGTAGGAAATTAGAAGATTTTATCTTTTCAGTTTTTGAATTAAAGAGCCAAATCCCTTAGTTTGGGATTAGGATCCTAGGAGATAGGGAATTCCGGTTTTTCTAGATAAACACCGGATCTAGATAGATTAAGATAAGATAAGAGCTTATTTGAATTTCTATGAGCTGTCAAGGGTACTTGGTATCCTATAAATTAGGTTTACGTTACACTAATAATAATAAGAGAAAAAAGTAAGTTTTTCCCTTCAAAACCTACATGGTTTTTATAATCCCTTTTCCAGCAATAGTTACTAAAGTTCCATCGGCTGTTTTTTTTTTTTTTTTTGGTTACCAAGACATGGGGTGTAGGATGAAAAATGATTTGAGGAGTTTGTCATATGGTCGGTTGCACCAGAGTCTACTAGCCAGATTCCATTATAGTTGCTCTTTGAATCACTTAGAGGATGGGTCATAGAATACTTACATGATTGGGCCATGGAGCACGACCCCATCAGTTTATCCATTGCTGTTAGAAAACTGCAGAGTTTTTCAATCTCTTCTCGATTGAATCCACTCAATTCTTGTGTTGCAGCAGTTGTATCTTTTTTCTCTGCATGAACAGCATTGGCTTGATAGTTCCGAGGTTGAAATTTCATCTGGGAATTATTTCTGGGTGGTTTTCCATGCAGCTTCCAACAAATGTCCTTAGTGTGTCCCGTTTTCTTGCAGTAGTTGCAGAACAAACCATCTCTATTGTTTGTTGATTTGTTGAATGACATGTTTGTTGAGAATGGTGTCCTAGAAGCATGAGATGTGATAGGATATTTATTATTTATTTAATCAAAGGGTTTATTCCTCATTTTATGTGTATATATTTGTAAATATTTTATTAATATCAATGAAAATTTCATGATTATTTATGTGATCCTAAACATTATATATAAGTGTTATATGCGAGAGGATAATGTTTAAGGATAATAATCAAAAAGAGATGTTCATAATGAATTTAATTAAAGTTTGAAATCTTTAATTAAAATATTATTAATACATGTCATTCCCATTTAGAATGGAATAGTGTTATCCGCACTGTTAATATAGCGAGATATTGAATAAGTGTATTACGCATAATGAGATTATGTAGAATAGGGATACAAACACAATATGAATTTCTAATAATTTCCGTTAAGTATAGAAATTCTAATTGAGTCTACCGATGGTCATATATAGAATGATCTTAATCATGAATTCTTAACAAATTCTTATTTATAAATTTGTGTCTTTTGATTTACTCGATACAGATTCTGAGACCCTAAATCCTATTCCTTATATTTTAGAGATATGATGAAGTAGGTAACCGGAAATGTTATTATATGAGATGAAATTCATTTCTTCTTGATAAAGAAGCAGATAAATAATTCTCTTGAGTGTTGATTCGGTATTTGGATTAGTAAGAGCACTCTGGTTCATGAATGTGTTATATGAATCACTATCCATTAGAGAATCAATGGTACTCAAGGATGAAGATATAATTAGAGATGTTAACGGATTTTACCTAGCTCTAATTATAAATTATTTATAGAGCATTGATCTATATGCAGTGACTATATCAAATGGACACTTCACAATTTAAAAATAATTTATATCTATAAGTTTAAGAGTGCAATTCCAAGTTTATAGTGCAATAACTATTGAAATTAATGAAATTAATTAATTAATTAAAGTGTTTAATTAATTATTAATTTTATTAGAGCTCGGGATTATACGTCCATTAGTCCCCGTGTCGTTCTTGTAATTCTACCAGACACAAAGAGCAAAATGAGAATTTTAGAATTACGGAATTCTAGAATTAAACACTCAAAAATAATTAATTGAGAATTAATTATTATTTAAATAATGGGATTATTTAAATTTAAATTTGAATTTGAACTTATCTAGATTTATCCATTTAAACTTATTTGATAAGTTATTCAATTTAGAATTCAAGTTAATTTAAGTTTGACTTAAATTCGAATTTGAATTTAAATCAAAATTGAACTGCAAGATAAATGATGATTTTTTCTTCCTTTCCTATCTGTATTTGGCACTTACCACAGGGACAGGATCACCTAGGTTGGCCGGCCATCTTGAGGATAAGGAGTAGGAGACTTTTGTTTCAAATTCAAATAAGAGATAATTAACAAGCTTTATCTTGTAGATAGAGATTAGGGCCTCGTTTATTTCGCTGATTCGAGTTTAGAATTCGAGTTTTACTACAGTAAAAAGCTCTCACAAACAGTCACATCTAACTTTTTTGCTACAGTAAAAAGCTCTCACATAAAATCACATCTCAACTCGAATTCTAAACTCGAATCAGCGAAACGAACGAGGCCTAGATTCCTTCTAAAAGTTTGACTTCTACTCTATATATAAGAGAATAATAGAAAATTGTGAGACACAATTTTTGACCTATATTTATATGGTGGCCGAAATTCTCTAGTATAGTGAGAGGAAAATTTTTTCTCCAAAAAAATTTTGCATCGTGCATGCGTTGGTGTTTGTGAAAATTCGAGTGTTTATTCTAACTCGTTTTGTCTCATATGTGCCCACACACACGTCTTCGTAGATTCTAAGAATTGACGTGGAAGACATTGATTTTCTAAGCACAAGGCTTTAGAGTAAGGATTGTTCGAGGTCAAAGAACTTAAGTTATCATCCTAATCGGCCGCCAGGTATTATTCTTAATTGAGTTCTTAATAAATAAATTAATGTGATTAATTTATTCGTGCATAAATTAATATAATCTATAGAGTATCTCGAAGGTTTTATGAAAATTTTTATTATACTTGATCCGCTACCTCACGCTTCTGCATCCGAATTCGATTCGGAAAACCATCAATGTTCTCTGTCCGATTGGTGTTCTGTGTGAGTTTTGAGGGACAGCAGCAGCAACACTAGGAACCGAGACAACAACAGTAGGAACTGAGACAATTAAGGTCGAGCTCTCACTTGGTGGAATTTCAAGCATGATGCCTCTCCTTCCTTCTTCACCTCAGACAGTAGAGAAGACTTCACTCAGGGTTGGCAGAGAATCCTTTCAAGTATTTGCAAACGAACTTGGTCATATTCAACATTCAAGCCAGCCAAGAACTCCTAAACCCTTTCTCCTTCAACAAATTTTAGCATCATTGCAGCATCTTCACTGCACTTCATCTTAAATTTTGGTAGTAATCGAGTTCAATCCACAAATTTTTCATCTTGTTATAATAAGCAGTGACCGAGAGATTACTTTGCTTGATTGAGTGAATTTTTGTCTTAATTTCATAGACTAAGGCTGCATCACGCACCTTTGAATAGGTCTGCTTCACAGTATCCCAGATGTCTTTTGATGTGGGCAGGAACATAAGGTTGCCACTAATCTTGGGTTGCATCGAGTTCCAAAGCCATGTCATGATTGACGAGTCCCCTACATCCCAAGCATCAAACTTTGGATCATCCTCCTTCAGTAGAGGGCATGTCAAGTGATTCAATTTGCCTTTTCCTTTAAGGAAGGTTCTAATTAGTTGGGACCACACTAGGTAATTTCGGCAGTTGAGTTTTAAAGGAGGGTTGCATTCAACTGTTTGTGGCTAGGAAATTTGGGTTGAATCAGGGTTTAGGTCGACATTTGTGGTATTGTTACCGGTTACAAAGATTTCTGACATTTTTCTGGGTGATTAAAGGCTAAAGAAGAAATGACAGTGAACAATTTTTTTTTCTCAGCAGAAAATCATGTAAGGCTCTGATACCATGACCAAAAACGTTCTTACTGTATGTTTTTCTTATTATATTCATTGAGGAAAAGCTTATAGCTATTTATAGAGTACAGAATATTTTAGTATACAACTTATACTAGGAAATTCTTAATTACAAAAGAATCAAGGAATTATTTTCTGAAATTGACAGCTAACTATCCTATCACTCAGCTTGCATTGACTCAATAAATCATGAAACTATCCCTAAGAATCCTACCATTGACTAGACAAATCAGGGAATGATTTCCCTGAGAATCAGAGACAAATCAAGGAATGATTTCCCTGATAATTTGAGTCAACGAATCTTGACAGATTCGTCAACATGATACTTTACTTGTGCATGTCGAAAAAGACATTTTCAATGGCCTTGATAATGAGACTATTATGCAACATATTCAAGGCATGAAAACCCGTCGAGGACAATTGTAATAGATTAAGTATTGTTAAATTTTTATGTGGTTATTAGCCCCCCATGACAAAAATTCCTGGCTTCGTCACTGACTAAACGATGTGCGGAAACTATTTAGATTGGATGTTAACTGTTAAATCTAGTGAGATCGCACTGTTCCTTTGCTTTTGGGTTTGCAGTACAATTTTTTGACGGGGAAAAGCTGTAAACAGATCAAAGTGGAGGATCTTTATCTTTTCTATACGTACGTAAAAGTGACCATGAGAGAAACTTAGAGTGTGTTTGGTATGGGGATTCATACCCTAATTCAAATCATGGTTCATGGTTCATGGTTCGCTACAGTGTTTTCTCTCACAAATCGAAAATAGTTCTAATCTCATGATTCTAATCCATGAACCAAACGTCTCCTAATTAAACGAAGAGTAAGATTGATCTATGCATAACACCATACCTTTCACAACCTATACGAATGGTAGCGGTATGCTGAGGACCCACCTTTGGTTGACCCATTCTGCAACACTGAAACTGCGGCAGTCTGTCAACAGCGACATTTAGTTTTGTGGTTCCCTATTTTATGTGCATGAGAATGAGTCCACTTATTCTTTTGAATAACCTCCAAAACGAGAAACTAGTCCAACCATAAAAAATAAAGATTGAATTACCCCCCCTCCAAGAGAAAACATAATCTGCCCTTGCCAAAAGTCGAGATAGAAAATATATGTCCATGATTTTTCAACTTATTAACAGAGGAATCTTACAGAACTGTAGTTCGAGCTCTTAATGGCACAAAGAAAATCATCCGGAAGAACACCATTGGGAACCAAATCCTGTGTCAGAAACAGAGTGTCAAACAAATGAAGTAGAAGAATCCATTAGTGAAAATAAGCTTAAATATAATGGAAAATCCAGCATATCAGCTATGTTAATTTTTTTTTTTAAAAACGAGAAGTCATTAGTACTTCTCCCAGTTATCCAAAGGAACCAGACATCTTACCATGAAAGTTTTGTACGGAGTAGCATTGGATAAAACAACTTTAGAATGCACTTGCATCCCATCAGCCAACAATACCTAAATTGCAAATATGAAATGCCCATCTGAATAATCTGTTCAACACTAATATAAATTAACTCAGCGGAGGCTTTTTGAGAGCAGAACTAACCCCATCAACAGTGCCAGAATCGTCAATCATCAGTTCTGAAACCTGAATTCCGAGATAAGTAAAAACCAAAGAAACCTTCATAGAGTATTAAAGCAAAAAATTCTAAATGAAACATACTTCAGCATCTGTAACAATATGCACCCCAGCTTCTTTAGCAGCATTACTTATGGCTAGGGATACAGAACCCATGCCACCTTCAACATGCCTAGAAAAAATGAAGGTGTGTCAGTATTATCGAACTATTATATCGTCAAAGAAATCCACAAAAGTAACTAAAAGGACAAGGACAGAGTCACAAAATAAACTAATTTATAATAAAGGAATGGAGGGGGATTCTCTTTTTGTGATGTGCAAATAACAAAATTTTCCTTTGCGCTTTAAACTTACACATGAGATACTCACGACCAAATATTGCGAGCACCATCAGTTTCACCCATCACATGATGCAGCAGAACATATCCACTTCCAGATGTATGAATGCTTACCTACAAGACAAATTTGAAATCTCAGTAGACTAGTTTTGAAAAAGACTACAAAAGGAACTCAAGATGCAAGGAAGCTCTGGAAAGAGCAAGATATTAGCTATCATGCAATGTAAAAACAACATAAACAAACTCCCCCACCAACGCTGCAATTGAAATTTTTTCATTGCACTAAACTAAAATATTGGCCTAAATTTTCTAAACAAATGAAGGTCTTACCATACTTCCAATGATAGCATCTGCTGCTAGTGTTCCCTTCAGCACATCAGACTGCATTTTTGTTTTTTGCTGTTAGTGACTTATATGGTTGTATATCCAATAATCACACCGCGCATTTGACTTTCGTACATGGATACATAACATTTTAAATGTAAACAAACAATCAAGAGACTTTGCATTCTATACTTTTAATTAAGGTAGTGACAACCTCAAACCAGTTGTTCAGAATCTTCGATGTTGGGGACAACAAAACGCCTAGAAATTCCCTGCCAAAATAAAAAAGTTGCCAAATTCAAGTAGCTTAATTTAAAATGTATCAAGAAAACCTCATTTTACACCATCGATTTCGGAAATGGGAAATATGTCTTTAAATACTCACACCACATCTTTCTGGCCTAGGGAGAGAGCGTGCTTCAAAAAGCTAGCCCAAAATACTGAATTCTGCCATTTGCCTTTCAGCTGATTCTTTAAAGATGAATCCCCATGCAAAGTTTCAGGGGGAGATGAATCCAAAAGGAAATCCATGAATTCACAAAATTTATGAAGTTGACTTTCATATCTACACCAAATATATATATATATATATATATATTTATTTATTTATTTATTTATATATGAAGCAAACACATACAACCTCTGAAATAAAGTCAGCGCAATAATTAGGGAAAAAAAGGGATTATGATACATAAAACCTCGGATAAGTATCTGCATCCAGTTTAGAGAATTTGGATATCTCCAAGTGATCATTTTCATCATTAAGCCCCAAGAGAAGATAACGCCCGTCGCGACAAGGCGTAAATGACGAAGCGATAGGTTTCAACAACTTAAGACCATGTCTCACCAATTCCAATTCTCTGAATTTTCGAATCCACAAAGAACAAAGAAAATTAGCGAATTGAAATTCATGTGATCCTAAGCATAGGATAAATGGATAATATATACCCGACGATGGAAGGTCGGAGGAGGCTTTGGAGGTAACTGCAGCGAGAGAACTTGAATCCAGGAACGAGCTCCTCGGTGACGGCGGCACCGCCGATGACGTGGCGGCGTTCGAGGACGGCGACGGAGAGGCCGGCGCGTGCGAGGTACGCGGCAGCGGTAAGGCCGTTGTGGCCCCCGCCGACGACCAGCGCCTCCCATTTACGCTCCGCCAGCCCGCGTCTGGCGCTGGCGCTGCTACTGAAGCGTCTTCTCCACATTTTCTTTGGAGACTGAGGTCAAGCAGTAGTGGGAATTTTCAGTGTGACGAACGTCGAACTCCGAACAGGGTGAGTCAGCTTTTGCCGCGAGCTTTGCCAAATGGCAGTTGCCTATGTGTAGGAATCTGGAAGTAAGCTGAAACGAGATTAATCCTTAATTAATAAAATCTGTAGGACGCCCTCGTCAAAGGTCCCATGGTCTAGTGGTTAGGACAATGGACATTGAATTCGGTAACCCGAGTTCTAATCTCGGTGGGACCTTTGTCTTCTTCTTTTTTTTTTTCTATGTCCATTTTGGTTAGAAATATTACGTTTACTGCATAGTTTCTATGTCCATTTTGGTTAGAAATATTACGTTTACTGCATAGTTTGGTAGTGTTTTAAATTTTAAAAAAAGTTTGGAAGTGTTTTAAATTTTAAAAAAATTACTTTTAGTTACGTTAAAAGGAAAAATAGTTGTTATAAAAAATAGTAAAATGTTTAGTAAATTATAATTATAATAGTTGTACTGGTTTTAAAATCAGTATAATAATATTTATGCCCCGTTCACTTCGCTGATTCGAGTTTAAAATTTAAGTTTTTCTACAGTAAAAAGCTCTCACAAACGATCACATCTAACTTTTTTGCTACAGTAAAAAACTTTCACATAAAGTCACATCTCAATTCGAATTCTAAACTCGAATCAGCGAAGTAAACGGGGTCTTAATAAATCATGAGATTAAATTACTGTGATAGTTAAAAATTATGACTACATTATATTTTAATATAATATTTATATAATTATAATGTAATATATATTTATTATTATATTTAAT